TTTTTTTTTTTTTTTTTTTTTTTTTTTTTTTTTTTTTGGTTCTTTTTTATAGCTTACTTTGTAACATGACATGATTCAATTAGCATGTCACCTAGACTTGATGTTTTTGAGTCTAATTCTAAATGCACAAAATTCTTTTCAAAACTAGGTCTTGTAGGCGTCGAACTAACCTAAAGTATCTCAATCGATCTAGGGATAACATACTGATCTTCCTCAAGAGCTCACGTCAAGTTTTACACTTCGATGTTGGCTCTTTGCCATTTGGGGTTGTAATATGTTCGCTCATTAAAGCAGTATGTAAGTTGGGTTCATGGGAAAGTTTGTCACCTCAATGTCAGTTTACTCTAGGGATAACAGATTGACACTTCGATGTTGGCTCTTTGCCACTGGGAGTTGTAGTATGTTTGCTCATTAAAGTGGTATGTAAGTTGGGTTTAGAAAGAGGTCTGGTGTACTAGCTTTTATGTACGGATCTAAATAGTCTTTGAACTCTTCTTTAGTAACTCTTTTTTTAATAAATTTCATAATTAAGGAGAATTTACCCTCCTTAAACAATCCGTCACTTAATAAAAGGTTTAAAAACTGAAGAGATGATAATCCAGAATTAAATTAGATACGACCAGAAACGAACCAAACCAATCCCAAGTAATTAATTAATCGTAATTACTTCAGTTAAGAATTCATTAGATTATAAATGGCCAATTATCGCCATTTTCTTAGTGAGGAGAATCTCAAAATTCTCAAAAAACCATGAAGCTTTCATCTCTGGTAATGTTCTATTTTCTTCTGGCTGTTTCTGTATCTGGACGTAATTTCTCGCCGGAACCAGCACTGGAATCTGCCGCCGGTTCATGGGATTTTCTTCTTCTGCCGCCGGACATGGCGGAGCCCCCCGTCGGAGATCCATGGAGGGGACTGGCAGTTTTTGATGTAACTGATTATGGGGCAATTGCTGATGGCAAGACAGAGAACAGCTTGGTAATTATAAACAATTTCTATCTTCTATTTTATTTTTTTAAGAAAAATATTATAACCTTAATATTGAGTAAATTTAGACTAATTTCATTGAAATTTACCTCTGAATATGATTAAATGTGACTTTAGAACTAAATTAGAAAATTACTCATTAATTAACCAATAAATTATACCAAACTAAAGTAATAATAAAGTCAAAATTGAGCATGCAAAATTTTAAATGTAGCCAGAAAGTCAAACAAATTAAAAGAAAAGAGTACTGGTCCTTCAATAAAATGGTCAAACCTAGTTAACAAATATTAAAATTGCAACTAGGTATATATTTTAATTAATAAAAATGAAAATTTTAACGTACTAATTTCATCAAAAATATTTAAAAAAAAAAAAAAATCAAATATTTGTCCATTTAAGAGAAGTAAAAAGGACTATTAATATTGAATTTTTTAAAATTATAAAAACTAAATTTTAATTCTATGTTGCTATAGGCATTCATGGGGGCGTGGGAGGACGCATGTGCTTACAGAGGAAGCTCAACCTTGTTAATACCAGAGGGCAGCTTCTTCCTTGCCCAAGTGTTATTTTCAGGCCCTTGTTTCGGTGATCTCTCTCCCAAAGTCATCATTTTAGGCACTTTGATTGCTCCCACCACCCTCACCGCCGACGTTTGGATCTACTTCAAGTCCCTCCGCCATCTCACCATCACCGGCAACGTCGGATCCGGCATTCTCGACGGCCAGGGTGCTGAAACCTGGTTGTATGGTTTCAACTGCCGCCATCGCTTGAGTTGTGGCATTTTCACCACAGTAAGTATGAACAAGTTAAAAATGAATCAGAGGGTAAATTTAAAAAGTTGAAAATTCACCTTTTTTTTGCGGGATTTTCTATCTGAATTTGCTGTGATCATCTGCTTCAATCCCCCATCAAAGACACCAAAGCTTTAACCATTTTTACCCAGTTCCATGCATTGATGCAAGTTTCCTTTATATGAGCAGTCTTTGAAGCTGAGTGATGTGTCAAATGCGACAGTGAGCAATATTAGCCTTGTGAACAGCAAGGGCTTTCATGTAGCCCTTAATGGGTGCGACAATATTCATCTTTCTGGGTTCAACATTACAGCTCCTTGGAATAGTCAGAACACTGATGGCATTCATATCAGTCAGTCCACCAATATCAACATAACAGCCTCCGACATCAGTGTCGGCGACGACTGTGTTTCCATCGGACCTGGTAGCATCAACGTGTCGGTTTCTAACGTTAGATGTGGTCCTGGTCATGGAATCAGGTATCGTATCGTATCTACCATCATTTCTAGCATCACAATTCAACTTTGCATCTCACTATTAATTGTATATACATCATTTACACATACAATACTATTGAAACATTTAGTAAAAGTAGAAGAGCATTAAAATGGTAATAGTTTTGAATGTGTTTGATATGGAATAATGCAGTGTGGGGAGTCTAGGGAGGTACAGGGAGGAGAAGGATGTGATAGGAATAAGAGTAGAGAATTGCACCATAAAAGACACTCAAAATGGAGTGAGGGTAAAGACATGGCCAGGAGGAGATCACGCAAGCAAAGCTACCAATTTGACATTTCAAAACATTGTGATGTTCAATGTCTCAAATCCCATTATCATTGATCAACAATATTGTCCTAACCATCTTTGTGACATAAAAGAGGTAAATACTTATAATAGAATCCCTGCACTTTCAACTTCTTATTGTCTCATTATAATTTAGTTCCTTCACTTTAAAAATTGTGGTCCTAGTTGTAACCTTTTTGACAAAACATTGACATGACATGTTTATAGGATAAATTTTGGTTGATTTGACTCGATGTGGCGAAGTAGAAATAACTCTGGCACAGATGCATGTTTACAGGATAGAAAGAACTCTTTCCCAAACAAAAATTATTTTCTACCTCAAACTATCATAGTTTTTAGCCAAAAATAATTTACAGTTGAGCTTCGATTTATTCCTTCCCGGAAAAACACTTTTATGTTGATCAATTTCGACAAATCCACACAATGGTAGATTTAAAAAGCTTATGTGCTAAATTTATTCTTCAACAGAAAAGTGTGCTAAATGGTGTTTTTTTTTTTTTTTTTCAGTCATCAGGTGTGAAGCTGAGTAACATCAATATCAAAAACATAAGTGGCACTTACAACTCTGAATTTGCAGTAAATCTGCAATGCAGCTCAGCCGTGCCTTGTGAGAACGTTCAGCTTTCTTACATCAATCTCACTGCCATTGAGCCACCAGAAACTGATGACATTGGCCGCTTCAACTGCAAGGGATCTCTCAATAACTTCTCCATCCTTAATTCAACATTTTAAGTTCATTACTCGATAAACAACAGTGCTTCCATTCATACTATTTGGTTATAGTTTACAAGCCCCCTGGAGTTTAGAATAAGGTTTAACTTCAGTGCATTTGTAACATTTTTCATTTTCTAGAGGTAAATTTTGATATAGATATAGTGTTGTGAGAGGCATTGTATGTTGCAACTAGTGAAAAGGAAAGTTCAACTTGAGCATAGCTCAAGTGGTTGAGACATATACATCCTCAATCAAGAGGTCGAAAGTTTGAAGCTTCACTCTACATGTTTTTACCTAAAAAGAAACTAGTGAAGGAGAATGAAAGTGAATTTCAACATTTTTCGTTGGTTTTTTCTTTCCCTCTTCTCTATATGCCTTTATTTTTATTCACAATTGGTTTACATGCAACCATCAGCCATGTCAAATCAAAACATGAGCGTGAAAGTCTACAAAGTAAAGAGTAGTTCATATTAGTCCACAAAATTTCTTCTATAGAGGTCTCATTTGGTCTTAAAACGAGGAGAAGGTGCATTGCAGCAGGTTCGAGCTGAGGAAGCACTCTCTAGAGAAGGTCTAGAGGAACAAGGAAGGCAGAATGAAGAGACTGCACACTTTTCCTTTTCTCCCGATCTTATTGGTGGAAAGATGTATTACTTGCTTACCAGAGGCCAAATTTGCATTTTTTGTCAGGCAAAAAAGTGGGGGAAGCTTCATTAATCACCTCCAAGAGTCTTCTAATCTAAGCTTCTCCTTTTCTTCTTCATGAAGGTTTCCCCTTTTGCCAAAATATTCTGTGATCTATTCGTTGAGGTTTAAAGAAACCCCGTTGCAGAGCAGCTTTGTTCTCAGAATACTGCATAAAAGTTGGAGGTTGCAATATGCTAGATGGATATCGCCCAGCCGAGAGTCTTGCCAAAATTTTGTTCTTCCATTTCCAACCAAAATGCTAGTAGGATCTACCAAAATGTTACTTCGGATATATTCCACCAAGGACCTCTCCGGCAATTTCCAATTTTCTGTATAGCGAATCTATCAAACTCACCAGTTTCATATATAACCACTTTGGTCCACAATTCAAGCAGCTCATTTGAATACCTCCATCACCTCTTTGAAATGGGCCTAAAGAAATAAAGGTGATTTGAAAAGGTTTCCGAGACCCAAACGTCCATGATCTAATGGCTTAGAAAGGAAGGATAGTTAAAACCAAGATAAGAAATAGGCAATTTTCAGCTTTGTACCATCCCAGCTGAATAGCAGTTAACTCCACTCTTTTGGCCTCAATATTGATTCCACAATCTGATGATCTTTTCCAATTAATTTTCAAACCAGCTGCATCTTCAAAAGCTCTAAGTATAAAAACTAAGTCCTAAATTGCGAAGTCCTTATCCTAACAAAAAAAGAGAAAAAAAGAAATACAATGTCACATCTGCAAATTGATAGTAAATAAGAAATCCCAATCAACTCAGTCAAAGACATTTTCAAGGTCTAGTTCTAAGATACAACCTTTTTTTTTTCTTCCTCTATTGCAAATAGGATCGAAGATTTGTCTTCCTCTAAAAAAAGCATTTTGAGCAGGACAAATAGTCAAAGGACATCAAATCTTTCAAATAGTGCCTTGGAAAGGATCCTATACATTGAAGTGAAAAGGCTAACGGTCAATAATCGTTGTCCATCAGTGAAAAGGCTAATGTTCCCTTGAGACATGAATTGACGTGCCCTTGTCAAAAAGCTTGACCAAGTTAACAAAATCAGATTTTAGTAAACAGAATTTTTTACTCCTGGTGCCTTTTTTGTCCTTCTAATTCTTCTAAAGGTCTTATCAATCACTCTCTTACTCTAAGTATCAGCCTCGAATCAATATTCTTGGTAACGAAGCTCTGAGAATTTTCTTTCTTGTATAATTTTCAGGACACTACAAATTCTTGAGTTCTAAATACATCGAGACCATTCCATAGAGTCTATATTTCTGTCAAGCAAAGATTGGGTTGGATTATCTCTCATTATGGACCATGTGAACATCTCTTGATCCAGAGGAATTTCAAAAAAGTTTCGATTCAGCTATCGATCAATTAAACTTATTCATACCAAGAATGTTTCTTCCTGAGACCATCGAACCTTAACAATAGCCAAATAAGGATCTGATTCCTTTCTTTGCAGTAAGAAGGCACATAAATATGCGATATTCAAGCTTCCTTTCCATCTCCAAATTTAATTAAAGAGTATTCTCCTTAAATAATGAACTTTACTTACTTCCGTGTTCATTCCAAAGGAGCATGGATATGGCAAGCCTCACAGATGTTTGAACACTACTACTAACGCTAATGTTTGGAAGCAACTACTACAGTAAGGCAACCAATTTTCCAATGCAACCAATATTTCACATAACAACTATTTAAGGCAATCAACACTTGGATATTCGTTCATGTTATTATGTTCTTCTAGTTCAAGCAACACTTGAATATTTACCTTCGCCAAAACTTCCTGATAACGAAAAGATATGAGCCTACAACTTGCATCAAGTTCATTCATGTCACTGCATTGCGGAAAGCTCCCATATTATGATTCCGTAACTATAAATATCACATCTATACAAGACATCCAAGTGAATTTCTTTTTGCAAGAAAAAATTTGAGTAAATCATTGATTTTAGTCCAAACAGTAGAGATGTGAAAATCTTACTATTCATGGTAAGCTTCATTTGTTAGCACCTCCGAAGCCATCAACTCAACCAGAATGATAATATCAAAAAAAAAGAGATCGGAATCATCGCACATGAAGTAGCAGGTTCGATTAGGGTTAGGATAGAGAGAAAGAGGGCCGAGAGAGAGACAATCGCTGGTGGAGTACTATCGGAAAACGAAGTCGGAACTCGTAAAGAAGAAAAAATGGCGGAACCAGTATTTATACCGTAAGAACAGGCGATCAAAATGAGTGAAATTACAATTTAGCCATTTTAAGTTCCAAAAATGACAATTTTGGCCTCTTAAATAGTCTTATTTGTAAAGAATTTTAGTTTTTTCAAAATTATTTATACTAAATTCAAATTTAAAATTACAAATTTAAAATTACAAATTTGGTCCTATTATTTTAAAAATGTTATAACTTATTTATGAGAGTTTTATCTCATGAGATTTTATCTATAAATTTTAATTCAAATAAATTTACAATTTATACTAAAATCATTTTATTTAATAGAAATATGGCTAAAAAAATTAAAAGAAAATTTATAAACTAAATATTGACCGGCAGAGAGTCAAAGCCGGCGAAGCTTGAAAGAACCAAAGAGAACTCAGATTCAGGAGAGACATTTTGGAACCCTGCTCTGCGCGTCCCACTCATCCACCCCATTTCTACCCATCTTCCGCCGCGCCTTCCGCCGCCTCCTTTCACCATTGCCGGATCTAGAGGTTGTTCTCCACTGGCTCCGATCTCTTCCGCCTAGGTACGCTTCTAAGAAAGATAGATCCATTTTTTTGAATTCTTAATTTTGATCCATTGTCTGGGCATTTGAATTCCACGAGCCATGAATTCTAATTTCGGAAAGGATTTTGAGTTCGATTTGGGAATCGGATCTTCCCGCTCCAAATCCCTCAACGATCAGAAAAATAAAACCACTTCGTATTCTTCCTACGCTTCCTCTGGTTCTTCGAATTCGTCGACACAGACGAGGCCGGCCTGGAAGCCTAACAATCCGTCGTGGACGCATCAGCCGGCGCCGAATCAGGCGGCGCGACCTAACTTGTCCAATTCGCCCGCTTCCATGGTCGGTGATATATTTGGGAAGAGCTGGGGTTCGACTGCTAATTCAGGCTCCAATTCGGGCATTGGAATTGTTGAAAAGAATCCGAATCTGTTCGGCGATTTGGTCGGTTCGGCCTTGGGATCGGGTAAGAGTAACTCAAATGCTTCATTGAAGAATTTGGCTTCGAATCCGGCATCATCGAGTGCGGCTTTGAATAGGAATTCGTTTTCCATGGGAAATATGAGCAATTCCTTGCCAAAAGCCAGTGGTAATCCGGCTAAAAGCAGTGCAAATGGGAGTTTTGAGAATCTGAACAGTTATAATAGTGGGCGAAGTAATGAGAGCTATACCACCAATATCAGGGCTCCAAATCACAGAGGTCCAAGCATGAGCTCAACCATTGGGAGTGGTAAGACGAGCTCGAGTAAGGATCCCTTTGGTTCTTTAGTTGACTTCGGATCTAAGCCATCAGGGAATCTGAATTCAACGAGTAAGAGCCAAAAGATCAACACAAACGAGGACTCATTTGGGGATTTCCAGAATGCTTCAAATCCAAGCACTACAGCATTTCCTTCGAGCGGATCGAGTGGGAGTGGCGTTGGTTTCAATGGATCAAGTTTTCATTCAGACATAAACATGGGTGATTTTGGAATGCCCTCAATGGATTTTGGCTCCAAAGCTCAAGAGACTGTTCAAACCGCTGCCAGTGATCCACTTGATATGTTGTTTAGCTCATCCAAAGCCTCAGCTGGAGGTGCTCCAATGGCACCCGAAGCAGCTGGACCACCGCAATCCTTTGATGCCGATGGCTGGGGATTCGATTCGGAGTTTGGGGGAGGCAGTCATGATGTGGGTGGTTCAACGACTGAGATTGAAGGACTTCCTCCTCCTCCTGCAGGGGTGACAGCTTCTTTGGCAAAGAACAAGGGAGTTGATGTCTACAAGCAGGGACAATACGCCGATGCTATTAAGTGGCTTTCTTGGGCTGTGATTCTTTTCGAGAAAGCTGGTGATAATGCTGCCACAGTCGAAGTCTTGTCGACACGAGCTTCATGTTACAAAGAAGTTGGGGAGTATAAGAAGGCCGTGGTTGATTGTACAAAGGTAAAACATCCAAATTATATTAGAATTATATACTTGCTAATCCAAATTCTATTAGCCCTATGAACACAATAGGCACCCAAAATTCTAGGTTTAAGTAACATTGACATTAGTTGAGAGGAAGTTTAGACCGGTTCTTTCTTGCAGTTTGGTTCCTAACAATCATAACTCGGTTCTTGTAAAAGGAAAAGAAAAAAAAAATAAAGTAACGACTTTATCTCCGTTGTGTCTCAGTATTCATTGAAGTTGCTACCGTAGTCAATTTTTCACTTCTACTGTGAGATCCCACATCAGTAGGGGAGGAGAACGAAACATTCTTTATAAGGATGTGGAAACCTTTCTCTAGTAGACGCGAAAGAGAAAGTCCGGATAATATCTTCTATCGGTGGGCTTAGGCCGTTAGATCTACCTTGTAGGAGTGTTTTGTTTTTGCTTTGTTAAACTATGCTACCTCTGCCATTCCACCCTTCCCCCAAAGGGGAATAAGAACTGTAACTGTAGGGTACTTATAAAAAGTCATATCCTTCCCTGTGCTGTGTAGGTATTGGATCACGACGATACAAATGTAACCGTTCTCGTTCAACGTGCACTTCTGTATGAAAGCATGGAGAAGTATAAACTTGGAGCTGAAGATCTGAGGGCTGTCCTGAAGATCGATCCGGGTAACAGAGTTGCGAGAAGCACGGTTCACCGGTTGACTAAGTTGGCAAGCTAAAGGTTCGTATTACAATTTTGGCTGTTGTAGTGTCTTGAATATAGGATTACACCAGTTCCCTGCTATCTACATTTGCATTTGCTGATGGAAATGACTTCACTTTCCGATTACTTGGATTGGTTGGTCTTGTATGTGTGCCCCTTTCGATGGTTTCAAGATGCATTACGTATTGTTTGTGACAAAAACCTGTGCTTCAATTGATTGTTCTTGTACGTTGGCCCTTGAAATTTAAACTATTCCATTGCTTTCCATGTCCCTTTTGCTGTCTTCTGGGATTAGGCCACTTAGATTGTGAATAAACCCGAGTTTGATTGTGAGATCCCATGTCGGTTGGAGGGGGAACGAAGCATTCCTTATAAAGGTGTGGATACCTCTCTAGTAGACACATTTTAAAAGTCATGAGACTAACGGCGATTCGTAACGGGTCAAAGTGGACAATAGTTGTTCGTTGTGGGCTTAGGCTATTACAAATGGTATTATAGCCAGACACTCGACAGTGTGCCAGCAAGGATGTTTAGCTTCCAAAGGGGTGGCTTGTGAGACCCCACATCGATTGGAGAGGGGAACGAAGTCATTCCATATAAGGGTGTGGAAACCTCTCTTTAGTAGACGTCCTTTAAAATCGTGAGACTGAAAGCGATACGTAGCAGACTCAAACAAACAATATCTACTAGCAATGACAAGGATGTTTAGCTTCCAAAGGGGTGGATTGTGAGACCCCACATCGATTGGAGAGGGTAACGAAGCATTCCATATAAGGGTGTGGAAACCTCTCTTTAGTAGACGCCCTTTAAAATCGTGAAGCTGAAAGCTATACATAGCAGACTCAAACAAACAATATCTACTAGCAATGACCATCTTGCATAACTTCATTTCCAAAAATATTTGTAAATATATATTTTATTAAAAAAAAAAACTAAAAGTAATATTTTTAAAATCCTTATTTAATTAGTATTTTTGGTTGATTAGTATTAATATATTTAATTATTTATTATAGATAGTGGTTTCCATGTTAAATAAATTAAAATTATATTTCTAATGTCAAGTTTAATTATTATTATTTTTTTAATTTAACTTTAATAAAAGAAACTCTTATTTTATCATATAGTTTACATCAATTTTATATTATATTATAGTAATTAAATTGCATTTTTATTTTAAAAACTTAAGTTAAATTAATAGTTGATTGATTTTAATTCATTTTAAATATTTAAATAAATATTATATAATTCATTTATTATATAGTGTATAAAAATATAAAAATATATCTAGAATTTCAAATAAGGGTTTAAAAAGTCATTTTCAACTTAAGGTATTATTGATTTTAAAACGGATTCTAACAGTAAGGACTAAAAAATTATTTTATAAAAAGTAAAGGAACCTAAAAAGAACATTTTGATGGACCAAAAATAAATAAATGGTCGGTTTTCATGTGTTACCATTAGCTTCTCATGACATAAAATTGTCCGTTGAAGATATGATTTCACTAGAAATGTTACAGAGAGGAAAGACGGCAGAAATTAAGAGTAAAGAGAGAGGTAGCCGGCAGGCGAGTGGGAATGAAGGAGAGAGAAGGCGGGCACAAAATTTGAAGTAAATGAAACGGCCATTGCAAAAAGTAATTAAAGAGATAAACGTAAAACGGAGTATCAAAATGACCAAAAGTACCCTCACACTACCTTCATTTCTTTTGGTACTTGCCTCCCACCATGGGCCACCATCGTCCACGTCCATCGTCATCCACTGTCACTTCATTTCTAGCAACTGTCATTGTCCACCATTGATGAGAACTGAATTCTGTCATTGTTACCTCACCTTTGACGACCCGTACAAATTTAAAGTTATTAGTTCATAATGTTTAATAACCGTTTTTTATAGTAATCATTTTTATTTGAAAAATTAGCGATAAATGAATGGTAGACTCATTTTTAAATGTGTATTAAAAATAAGATAGAGTAAATTAAGAATATTAAGAGAATTTTAACTAATTGAGAAATTAAATCTTTTAAAAATTAAAATTAATTAAATTATTAAAATAATAATAATAATAATAATAATAATAATAATAATAATAATAAAAGGAGTTATAACCGTCGCCTTCTTCCACTATAAATACCCTTCCATTTCACTCTCCACTCCTCATACTCTTCTCGCTGACCGCCCGCCTTTCTCTTTTTCTCTCTCAATTCTCTCTGAAATCTCTCTCTCTCAGTTGGTGAAGATGTGCGGTGGAGCCATGGCCTCCGATTTCGTCCCACCAAAAGCCTCCGGGAAGTCCGTCGTCAACAACCACCTCTGGCC